TATTTATGTTGTTATGTAAAGTACTTTTTAAATATTAATTGCCTGGCAACTCTGGCCTGTCATTATTCTATATTCCTTTTGTAATTATTATTCATTATTCATTTTTAGTATAGTTAATAAAGCGAAGTAAAGAACATGTTAAAAATACATCGGACCGTGTTTCACTTTTGCTAAAAATATATAATAGGTTATGGGCCCAGCACGCTTCCACTGCGAAGTAAAAAGCACGTGCACATAAAAAGTAGATTTAATACGTGTATACAAATGTCGGGAACGGTGATTCGAGTTGAACCGCTTAACGCGGAAAACTACGATACATGGAAATTACAAATGAAAGCTATTCTCATAAAAAACGATTTATGGTCATATGTCGAAGGTACTACGCCGTGTCCAACGGGCGAAGGGGCTGAAAAATGGATCAGCTTTGATCAAAAAGCGTGTGCTGATATAATGTTATCAGTAAGTGCATCAGAATTAAGATTAATTGCAGAATGCACAAATTCAAACGAAATGTGGATGAAACTACAAGCCACATATTCATCAAAAGGGCCTGCGCGCAAGGCGACGTTGCTGAAAAAGGTTGCACTTTCGCGCATGAAGGAGGGTGAAAAGGTTAGAGAGCATTCAACGATTTTTTTGAAGCCGTGGTGAAATTAAAGGAAATTGACGTCACCATCGGGGATGAGCTTCTGGCCATACTGCTCCTATATAGCCTACCCGACTCTTTTAATACTTTCAGGTGCGCGTTAGAAACGCGCGACGAGCTGCCAAAGCCAGACATACTTCGAGTGAAAATATTAGAAGAAGCCGAATCGCAAAGGACAAAAGAAGACAGACATAGTGATGAAAACTCTCTATACATAAATCGAAATAAAAACCGAAACGCAAAACAAAACAAACGATACAGTGATTCTAAACGAAACAAACAATGTTTTAATTGTGGCAAAATCGGACATTTTGCACGTGAATGTAAAAATAAAGCAAAAGCTGAAAATAACACGCAATTGAAAAATTCGGAAAAATCTGTAAACAATAATTTTAGCTATCATGTTGAAGATGCATTTATTAGCTCAATAAAAGAAAATTATTGGTGCCTAGCTAGTGGATGTACTGCCCATTTAAGTGCAAACCGTGAATATTTTACAGACTTTCAAAAATCGAATAAAGTGCTTAACTTAGCAAACGACAACACAACAAATATAAACGGCGTCGGTAAAATGAAAATAACTGTAGACGTATACGGTCGTGATAATAACATTGATCTTAAAGAAGTTCTATATGTCGAGGACTTGCGTACAAGTCTACTTTCTGTATCAAAAATAGTGGACAGCGGATATGAAGTGCATTTTCGCCCTTCAGATGCAATCGTATTGGACAAATATCAGAAGGTTATAACTCGAGCGAAAAGATGTGGAAATCTTTTTATTGTTGAAAATAAAAATCATTTTGCACAAGTTGCTGAAGAAAAATGTGACATTGAAAAGTGGCACCAGAAAATGGGCCACATAAATGAAAACGATCTTAAAAAATTGGTTAGTAATAACCTAGTACACGGATTAAAATTAAATCCTAAACAAAAACTTCCGACTTGCGAAATTTGTATTAGTGAAAAACAAACACAAAAGTCATTTCCGTAAAGAAACTAGAACAAGTGATTTATTAGAGATCGTGCATAGTGATGTGTGCGGACCAATGAGAACAGCATCAAATTCGGATGCAAAATATTTCGTAACATTTATTGATGACAAATCACGCTATTGTCATGTATATTTTATAAAACAAAAATCCGATGTATTAAATGTATTTAAGCAATACAAAAGAGCAGTAGAAACATTAACGGGTAAACGAATTAAGGCTTTACAATCAGACAATGGTAGAGAATACGTTAATTCTGAATTTAATTTATTCTTGAGGAAATTTGGTATACAAAGACGCTTAACTGCTCCATATACGCCGGAGCAAAATGGTATTGCTGAACGTAAAAACAGAACTCTAGTTGAAATGGCCCGTTGCATGATGAAACAAGCTGAAGTTTCGCCAAATTTTTGGGCAGAGGCCATAAATACAGCGTGCTATATTCGGAATAGGTGTCCTACAAAAGCATTGAACGGTGTAGTACCGCACAAGTTGTGGACTGGTAAAATGCCAACTATTGTACATTTTCAAGTATTTGGCTCTAAAGCATATGTCCTAAAAAAGGATAAGACTAGAGATAAATTCGATTCTAAGTCAGAACCTTACATGTTTTGTTGGATATTCAAACGAAGCAAAAGCCTATCGGCTATGGTCACCTACAAAACGAAATATAACAATAAGTCGTGATGTCGTGTTCGTAAACAAAAATATCTATCATAATAAATACGAAAACATTTATATTAACAATGAAAACGACTGCCAAACAAATGATTATATCGATATTGCGTTCGAAAATTGTGAAAATCAGAAACTGTCGGTCAATCCGAAAATTGTAGAAAATACAGATACGCGAGAAGAAAACTCCATTCGTAGAAGAGGTCGTCCGAGACTTATTCGCACAAATTCACGCGGTAGGCCTCGAAAAGAATATTACACGTCAAATCGGAATGGTGAAGAATCATCCAACGAAGACGAAAATACAAGTTCAATAAGAAAAATTGCTGATAAAAACCATTCAGATGATGAACCTGACAACAACGTTTTTGAAGATTGTGAAATGGCGTTTCTCACTACATATCAAACTCCAGTAACGATTTTGGAGGCACTTGAAAGCGATGAAACAAATTCCTGGTCAAAAGCGCTAGAAGACGAAATGGTGGCACAACTAAAGAATAAAACATGGGAAGTGGTCGAAAGACCGAAATCACGAAGAGTTATTGGGAATAGATTCGTGCTTCGAACTAAAGATGACGGAAAACAGAAAGTACGATTAGTAGCGAAGGGTTTTGCACAACGACCAGGTGAAGACTTTCATGATACGTTTTCTCCAGTCGCTCGTTCAACATCTATAAGACTACTTGCGGCACTGGCAGCAAAAATGGATTTGGAGATCCATCAGATGGATGTCATTACAGCATATCTAAATGGAGAGCTCGAAGAGAGTGTCTTCATGGAAATTCCCGATTATCTTATACCATTCCTGAACAAAGTTGTTTCATCAAAACCAGTGGGAAAAACTTCAACAATATTGTGTGGAAAAGTTAAAGAAACAGCGCAGCATTGGTTAAAGGCGATTAAATCAAGTAAGTCACCTGTATGTTTATTAAAGAAAGCTCTTTATGGACTCCGTCAGTCTGGGCTATCATGGTACATGAAATTGACAAAGAAACTACAGAATATGGGTCTAAGTGCAGTACAACAGGATCCTTGTGTATTCACTAAGCGTGAAGGTAACGACATTGTTTTGATGACAATATATGTAGATGATTTACTAATAGCGTCCAATAATAAGTTTCGTATAAAAGAAATAAAGGCTGCACTTGTGAATGATTTCGAAATGAAGGATTTGGGAATAGTAAGTAATTGTCTTGGCATCGAGTTTCATCAAAATTTAAGCAAGCATCAAGTTTTTCTTTCACAAGAGAAGTATGCAAAAAGCATCATTGAAAAGTTCAATATGAAAGACTGTAAACCAGTGAAGACTCCCATAGAATTGAACATTAAGTTATCGAAACCAACAAAAATTGATGAAGGTGTTATGAAGATGTATCCCTATCAAAGCTTGATAGGAGCATTAATGTACTTAGCTGTTACAACTCGACCTGATATTGCGTTTGCTGTAAACTTTCTTAGCCAGTTCAATTCAAATTATAACGTGGAACATTGGAAAGCAGCAAAACGAATTCTAAGATACCTTAAAGGTACAAGCAACTATGGTCTATTGTATGAGAAAGACAATGAAGAATTGTATGGTTTGGTTGACGCTGATTGGGGCGCTGACTTAAACGATAGACGTTCATATTCAGGGTATGCGTTCATTATATCAGGAGCAGCGATATGTTGGGAAGCTCGAAAGCAACGTACAGTAGCGCTTTCAAGCACTGAATCAGAATATATGGCCATATCTGAGGCCACAAAAGAAGCGTTATATCTAAAGGCAGTCCTTGATGATGTTGGCATTACAAGTAAGACAATTGAAATCTTTAATGATAATCAAAGCGCTCAAAAATTAACGGAAAGCTTCAGGTATCATCCACGGACAAAGCACATTGATATTCGTTATCACTTTATTCGCAGCAAGGTTAACGACGGCACTGTTAAAATCAAATATATGCCAACAGAAGAAATGCCCGCAGACGTCCTTACCAAAGGACTCACTACAGAAAAGCATGTTAATTGCTTACGGAAATTAGGAATGAAATATTAAAGTCATATTTTACACATAATAAAAGCACTTTAAGAGGGGGTGTTGTTATGTAAAGTACTTTTTTAAATATTAATTGCCTGGCAACTCTGGCC